CCGGCTCCTGTGTCACATGTCGAAGTATCCTTGAGTAAAGTTACTGAACCACAAATTGCTCCGATGATGATGATGATGCCGTGCATACGGTGTGTGAATGTGTGTGAATGTGTGTGAATGTGTGTGAATGTGTGTGAATGTGTGTGAATGTGTTTCTCTTCGATGGACTTTGCAGTGAATGTGTGAATGTGGCACGTAGTGTTAAAGTGCTTTGAGTGGTCAGAAGACTTAGAAAGGTGCTATTACAAGTACAGGTCCATTTACCATATTGTTTAGGTCGTTACAGATGTACGTGGATATGCTCGAGAAGACAAACCAAGGGGTTTATTTGCCGATGTCGGGGTTTCCTGCCTGGAGCATTTGATTTGGCCGGATGCAAGGGAACGTAGCCAAGTATGGCTCGGATTGCATCTTTATTTCTCTATCCGGGAGTTTATCGACTATGTTGGGCTCGGAGGTTGCTGACTGCAGGTTTTGGCATGTATGAGGAATCTGGCGTGACCTGTAAACCCTAGGTAAAGACCGTGTGTAATCTTGTATGAGGTGGTTAACGAACTGTCGATCTGGCATGTTTCAGGATCGAACCCACAACCTTCCGATCAGGGAACGACCCGCTCTGCCTCTGCACCACAGCCACCCGTAACAAACCCATATCAAACACGCCACGCTTACAAGTCAATTCGAAGTCTTTTTGGGGGCTCTCTACAAGAGATATGAAGAGACAACTCCCCCACTCAGTGTCTCACAACCCACTCTGTTCCCTCTTACATCACGCCGAACCCCTCCATCCATTCATCAATCCGCCAACCGACCTTCCCTCATCCCTCATCCCTCATCCCTCATCCCTCGACCCTACCCTCATCCCTCATCCCTCATCCCTCTCCCCTCATCCCTCAGTATACCACATATGTTTACATTCGTTCATTATGTGCAATTTTCGTTATGTGCAATTTTTTTTTCATATTTCATAAATTTGATTATGTGGTTGTTATTAGTAAAAGGACGAGTGTGTCTGATTTAGTTGCATCTAGTGATGTAGTTGCAGATCGCAACTCCTACACTTCCTCCCCTTCCAAGCACGAAGAAGAGATAATGAAGGCTGCAAAAAACGCAAACAGCCTTATCTAGAGCCAGTGTTTGCTTTGTCCCTTCAGGGCTACTGTACAAACATGATGATTCAACATGATGGACTCCATGGAAGGCGACCTGTGACATCTGTAAATAAAATGCCTCATTCTAAAGGAACAATAACACAACAGTTCTTTTATTTAGCTGATTATACACTATTGAAAACATAATTATGCATATTACATTAATTTCTGCCAATAATGATCATACTGTAAATATATAAATGTTGAATGCTTTAATCTGTGGCCATTTTGTGGGCCGGATGTGACACGCAGACTCCAATTCAAGACTACTGCCAACACTGCCTTAGACCCCTGATTTAGATAATGAAAAACTCTTTAATGTGGTATACATAAAATATTTTATTATAGCCTGTTTCAAATATAAGCCTGGTCCTCTTTTAGCATGGTTACTAAAATGAACTTGATCAGGCCTAATAATTATTAGAAAAGGCTGTGGGTGTGTAGGAAATGATATTCGTGTCTCCATGGCTGACAGCCTTTGACTGTCCTCCACAGCACACAAGTCTGTGCTCAGACAACAAAGGCAACAGCTGAAAATATCTAGCTGTGGCAGAGAGTGTCCACAGTTAGAAACAGCTTGTTCTCTGTGTCTCTTTGATCTGCTGTGATAATGAACTTGTTTGTTTGTGTTTACAAGGCTCAGAGGGAATGGTGGAATCGGGGACTTCATGAATGTTTCATGATTTAGGAGCATATGTGCAATGTTTGGGACACCAAAGGCTTTCAGAGCAATTCAAGTTGAATATGCACAGAAAATATTGAGATTGCTTCAGAAAAGAACAGAAACACTAAAGTGAGTATTCGTTCATGAGGTCAGACAGGGGTTCTCTCTAACACAATGGGATGGAGGAAGAATGGAGGAATGGAATGGAAGAAAGATGGAGAGGACAGAACATTCAGTGGGAACGTCACCTTCAGAGGAAAATAATCTTCTCAAACAGACAATATTACCTTTGGTGTTGAAGAGGCGGGACTTCCTGCAGTTATAAACCACTTCCTGTTGGCACTGCTCTGACCCTGTTATGATGGTGCGCAATTGTTTAGCTGAGGCACTGTAGTTTAACATCATGATGTGAGGTTTTTGCAGAGACGAGCCCTGGACTCTGACCGGAGCTGTGATGTTGTGAGTCAGCACTGTCCACACCCTCTCCTCTAAACACACACACACAGAGACGCGCGCGCGCACACACACACACACACACACACAAAACCTGATATAAGTAAGCCTGGTAGCATAAACCCACACCTTCTCCTCGATATACAAAAACAGGTTTTACAGTCAGTACGCACAGATTGTTGTCTAATACTTTTTACTTAAAGCAAATTAAAAGATTTAACATGTTTTCAAACTATTCCTTAAAATTACAGTCTGTAGAAAGAACACAGAAATTGCACATTACAGTACACCAATAGTATATTATGTTATTGCTGTCACGCTGTGTTTTTTTTTTTTTTTT